TTTGCTTCTCATTCAAACAAACGTTTGCACACTGAAGTATCGGGCCAGCTACCACGCAAGGTGCTGGCTCACCTGACACTTTTTGCCCAAGGACACTTCAACATGTGGACAGGAGGAGCTGACCCACTCTACCCACTGAGCCGTAGCCGCCCCTTGACACCCAATTTGGTTGTACAACAAAGTGAATTACGGAATCCTTCGCTCCCACATAGATTTTGAGATACTTAAATGCTTGCTGAAAATTACAGCTTTAGCTTCCAAATTTAATGCAGTCCAGTGTGATGGACACAAACTATCAATATGCAATTTTCCAAATACAAACAAGTTTCATACTTAAATTGGGAAAAGGGCTTTTTGCTCTTGTAGTTTTACTTTAGTTTTTCGTGTTGCCTTCTAAAGTCTTCTAAAGGCATTTTCTCTTGTGTTCTACAGGGGGTGGACCTAACAACAACTGCACACACACACACATACACACATTATAATGCGGTACCTCTGCAATACTGTAAATGCGGTTTGTCATTGTTGGAGGTGGTCATTCATCATCTTGGATTACATTTTATTTTGCAGTTGTTAGTGTTATCATCTTCCCTATGCGCAAACATCTATAAGTGCTTTATGCAGTGTTCTATGGTTTATATTACAAAGAATTCTCAAAGTATACTTCCTAATACATAGAAAAAAATGTTGTTTCATTTCAAGCTGCTGAATACTTTAGTTTAGTTGAATATTTGATTACGCAGCATCTAAGTGAATTTCAAACATCTAATGCACAACTTGTCTATTATTGGGTTTTGAGCTCCCTCTGGTTAACTCAGTTGGAATCAATTGTGTTATTCTGCGGTTACAGAGGGGCCGAGCAAAAACAAAGAAGTGTGTGAAAGGAAATGCCTTCAGATGATTCACTGATACGTTTGAAAGCAGTCGTGTGTAAAAAGTATAAGCAGATTAAAAGTGTTTCTTCTACTTACGGTCACTCTAATGTTCAGATGGAGCCGTTTGCTCATGTTTGTTCACAGTTCAAAGGCAGGCCAGGCCAGTGGCAGAGGACAAAGACTACAGAGGATGAATCTGTTGCTTCAGGCAACTAGACCCACTGAATTATTCTTAAATCATCATGCCAAGCTTCATCTCTTGTTCACCGACTCGATTTTCTGGAAGACTACCGATGAGCTCCGAGGATATACTGGGAGCGGAGGGGAAGATACTGGGCTCAGAGGTAGGGCCAGTGATAGTGAGATTTCCTCTTTGAGAGATGCTGCTTACGTGGAAATTGAGGAGCTGTCTGAAGGACTTCTGAAGTTTATCGCTCTTAAACTGAAAACATTTATGCAGTTAAGAAAATGTGCTCCAGTTTCAAGTATTTACAGCATCACAGGAACATGAGTGGTTGGAACTGAATGATAGAAATGTAGTATAAGAGTTGTGTCTGCATGGGGACATGGCTATATTCATTATGGCTTTACATTGACATATTCCTAACTTTCAATAATCATTGGATGCAAATACATACAACTGACACTTTTTTTTTCATTTTCAAAGGTAAGCATTAGAACATACTAAAAGGCAGAATGAAATGGCTGAATTTGCTTGTTCTGTACAGTATGTGCCATTCTTTGGATGTAATCTTATGCCACTGGTGTCAGGCTGGTTGATGAAATGCAGAATCAGTTTATCTTGTCTCTTAAAAGTATCTTACTTATAAGTTGGGAAATGATTGTACAAGATATACCCTGCAGGAATCCTTGCTTTTCTTAACTCTCGCTATGGGATTGCAAAGAAGCAAAAACCCAAAAAGCTGCAGGTACAGCTTGAGTCAAGTTGTCTTTAGCTCAGTGTAGTTTAGTAAAGACTAAACAACTTTTCCTTGTTGGTGGCCTCAAGTGCCCTAGTGAATTATGTTTAAAGACGTAAACATGATGTGTTGTACAGAAGCTCTGTTTTTTTTAGGGCAGTTCTGTAGTCCCACTGTTCCTTCAGTCTGCACAACCGTATTGTGTTACATCTCTGAAATGCACTTGTTCATTGATTTATAAATGACACAGCACTTAATTTGAGCTGTTCCTGGAGACTATATTCCAGCAGTTATTGACTTCATTGTCACGCCTTTCAGTTTGAATGATTAATGTTAGAAATACTACATAAGGGAAGCTTTCTGGAGAAGCCAAACATGAAGAAAAGTGACTTGATGAAGGAAGTACTCTAACAGAGAGGAGTCATACGGGTAGTCTAACATTAGTAGTGGGAAACTAATTACGGTGTCTTTGATTTTAGCCATGCTAGCAGCGTGGTTCAATGTCGGTAGGTTAGCCACTTTTGTCCAGACTGAAATATTTCAACAACTAATGGATTGATTGTCATGAAATTTGGTAGGCGTCCCTGGTCCCCGGGGGATGAATCCTGCTGAGTTTGGTGATACCGTCTTTTACCTTTAATGCCACCAGCGAAATATCTTGACAACTGTCATGAAATCTGGTACAAATATTCACAGCTAGATGAATCCTAATAATTTTGGTGATCCCCTAACTTTACTTCTAGCGGTCCTTGTAGGTCAAAATTCTCATTTCTCAACATTTACTTGATAGATTAGCCCACAGTTTGGTATTGACATTCATGGTTCACAGACTATGAATGATGACTTTCACCATGAGGTTTGCATGTGGTTTGCATCAAATGTCCCAACAACGGTTGAATGGTTTGCCTTAATATTTGTTCCACACATTCATACCCCGCTGAGGATATATTATAATCACTTTGGTGATTCCCTGATGTCTCATCTAGAGCCATCCTCATGACAAAACTTTAAATTTGTCCAGTACTTTGGTTTATGATAAAATACCCGCAAAACTGATGAAATTCCCATCGTCCTCAGTTGTGTTTAATGGTAACATGCTAAATTGAAAGGGTGAACATACTTGCTTAACATCAGCATGTTAGAATTTTCACTGTAAGCATGTTAGCTTTGACATGTTAGCATTTAGTTCAAAACACTGTACAGACTTGTTGTTTCTCGTTGCTACATATGATTAGTCATGTCATTTATATAATATTCGAAAAACTTGGCAAAACATTTGTACATGTAAAGCTACTACACGACAGCCAATTAAATCCCCAAACAGGATGGGAGGAAGGGTTAATAGAAGTCAGGTTGGAGCATCTACTCATTTCATAGCTGTCTAAAATGTAATTTTCTGAAACTTACTTGGAATAAAAATGGATTAAAATATACAATAACAAGTATTGATTTTCAGTCATTCACACTAGTGGGCATCATGTCCCAGCAGTTGACCCATGGGATATAGTATGGATCATTGTATGCTAGCTCACATGTGCATTATTTTACACTGCGGGTTGCCTGAGGCCTGGCTTAGTTGCAGACAGGAATGAGGTCACTTATAGCAAATGGATTCCTGATATCTAACCCTTTAAGTGATTTATTTTTTTCCTTAGAGCCCCCTTCGGCTGTTTACACACTGTTATACATTAAACTGGCTTCTCAGCTCCAGCTCCATCTCTGAAATCCCCATTTATATTGCTAACATACTCTCATACACAACGGTGATGTCTTACAATGTAATAGCACATAATAATGATAACAAAAAGTTAAATTGCCAAGTCTTCCATATTGTAGGTTACTGACTTTGATAGAAGAGCACATTAGCAGCAGATTCGATTTTTCAATATATCTTAATCAAAATTAAAACATTTCGCATTTGTTCAGTTGGATATGTCTCATCGCAGCTACATTAAGCAAATTATTTTATTGTTGGATAATGATCTGTACATTTCAAGCTCTTTTCTTCTTGGCCTCTTAATAATTCCTGTTTTTTTCTTTTTTACCAGCTGTCCCATTATCTGAAAGCCTCATGAATCCTTAACCACTTTTCCAATTTCATTTTTCTCCCAATTCTTCTTAGTCTCGCATTGCTAGACCTATCTCTGCACTACATTTGCACTATTCCAGCACAGGAGAGAAATCCAAATTCCAATAAATGTTTGCTTTACTCTCCCTTTTGAAATACAGTTAACCATTATGTCATCGCGTGTGGAGCACAGCCACTGTGATACGCTAAGTGGATTCAATCACAGCGAGAGCCAGAGAGAGAGAGGGAGAGGGAGCGAGCGAGAAAGAAGAGGGAGCCAGAGTGGGAGAGAGAGAATCAAATGACCAATTTTTTTTCAGTGAAATGGTAGCTGGCCAGTGCAGCAGACGCCCTCCTCCAGCCAGAAAGCCCAACATTGAAGAGTGCCAGAGAGTGCTGCACTTGTCTCACACACAGCTCTTGTTCTATCAGTGCCATTGAACGCAGACAGATGGTTAATTGCTCCTCTGTGGTATGTGTGAGTGTGTGTTTGTGTTTGTGTGTGTGTGTGTGTGTGTGTGTGTGTGTGTGTGTGTGTGTGTGTGATCTCAGCAGATCTAAATATGGGCCTGCCTAGGTGAATGCTCCCAAGTCCACCTGCACTCCATTGACATTTGAGGACATGTGTGGTATTTAGATTCACAACAACAAACAACAAGCATTTCTGTTCAGGTGTTCTTTTTTTTTAAACTTCCATCCAGGCCCTGCAAGCTCCTGGAGCTCAAACAACACGCTCTACTCTAAAAGGATGATTAATTCAAAACTAGCACATAAATGCTACTTCCATCACTAGCACTGTGATAGTGGGAAAAACACACAGACCTCTCATCATTGCTTTGAGAGCTGAAAGTGAAATATACTAAATTACTCTGCTTTGTGTACGGTGGGTCACAGTGGCAGATAAAAGCTTTTGTGATGGATAATGGGTGTTGAAAGCTGCAGCCTGAAACCAGACAGCAATAGAAAAGAGTGGTTGTCAAATAGTGACAGATTTGTAGCAGCGATGTGCTGACTTAAGCTGGGTTTAAAGCGCTAACTGAGAAATAACGTCTCCATGTATGCAGTGACTTAACTTTGCACAATGTCTAAAGTTAAAACCTGAGGAATGTCAGCAGCGTTTAAAAAAAAGCAGCATCTTACCTGCTATGATGGGGGCCAGGCGGAAGATATCTGAGAGCCGGCTATTGACTGGTTCATACGGAGAGTATTCCAGCAAATCATTAGCTGCAGGGGAAAACAAAACGATTGTCACCAATATGTGCTGGATAGTGTGTGTATCTATGCAGTGTGGGTGGATATTTAACATTATAATATCAATTACACTAAATGAATTATGTATACATAGGAGTGCTTATTTTGTAAATATGAATATGTTGTCATGTATTTGCACTCTAGAGCTTATAGAGAAGGTTGACCTTAGATTCCCTTTGTTACAAGTATCTCACATACACTGAAATACAAATTTGAGGTACTTGCACTGTCCTTGAGTATTTCCCTTTTAAGTTACTTTAGACTTCTCCTCCACTACTGTACACATCAGATGCAAATATTGCTCTTTTTACTCCACTGCATTTATCTGACCGTTTATTAGGAGTTTCAGATTTCACTTAAAACGTACTGTATAATGAGTTAATGCATTATTACAGCTAAAACTACCTACCTGTAGCAAAATGGAAATACATTGAAATACTGCTTAGCACACATTAATGCATCAGTGATGGTTATCCAGTAGTATTAAGTATTGAATAACAATGACAGGGGCCACTCTACCTGCATAATAAGTCCTGTGCCTTACCTTCCTGATGATATTTCTGTACTTTTACTTAAGTAAAATTTTAAATGCAGGACTTTTACTCATATGGAATATCTTTTACAAAGTGAAGGGGTCTGAATACTTCTCCACCATAAATGCATAGCTTTATAATCAACGTATTAATCACTCAAATAACGATTATTAGGTTCCTCTGGTACAGTGCATACCCTGCAAACTCTGAAATATGCTCCAAAAGATCCGGAGACAGTTCTTCTCCTTCTTCATGCCTCTTCTACACCTGCACTCATAGAGGGGGCTCTGCTTCATGGCATCTATTGCGCTGCGGCACTCGACCTGCGCCTCGGGACCGGTGACCGCGCTGAAGTTGCTCTCCCTCCCCGCCACGCACTGCCTCATCGTCCGGTACTTGGTGCTGCAGCTGTACTCCTTCAGACACTGCTCGCTGGCCTTCACACAGTCCAGGCGGACGGCCCGGGAGGACGAGCTGCTGTCACCCCTCAAGGTGAACAGCGAGGCTGGGAGGTTTTACAAGAAGCAAGTCAGAAAAGATTTGTGTTCACGACGTGAAGTAGTTTGCCGACATTTGCTCTGCACACAGTGGACTCACCTATCAGTCAATAAACAGTATTTCTGTGGAGAGTAGGTACTACTTTGTTTGTATTGTTGCCAAATAAGAAACAAAGATGTGACTATCAGAGCAATTTAAACTAATATGTGTCTTATTTCTCACTGCCACTGTCTGCTGCATCTGCTGAGTTGAACAGGGGCACATTTTAAAATACAATCAGCATATATTAGAGCCAAACAGAGAAATTCAACAGATGAAAGGGTCACTTACCCGGGAAGGACAACATAATGACAAAAGTAGTTAAAATCATTGCGCTTTAGGAGGTTTTCCGTATGTTAGCTCTGAAAGAGGGGCTCTTCGGGGGGGATTTAAAAGGAAACGTGAAGCGACTTTGTCACACAGATCCGCTTTTCTTCGGGCTGCACATTGCGTGAGTTCAGGTGATCACGCATCCTGTAGATCCAACAGCGAGAATCCCAACTCCAGACCCGAGTCCGGCAGCTACAACCCCACCGTGCGACCCCGCCGGAGTTTCGGACAAACAAGTGAGACGGAGAGAGACGCGCAGATGGTGAACCATTTCCACTTTGCTCCCATCAACCCCCTCTGTTTTTTTTGTCCGCCGCTCGGTCACACGCACTACAAGCGCGGGTGTGTCCGGTCCGACACACACAAGGAGGGAAGATGCCAGCGGGGGTTCGAGGACAAAACTTTTACAGCCGCATTAGAACTCTAAAAAAAAAAAAAAAAAAAAAACCCAAATGACTTCAACTTAAAGAATGAATTGAACTTTTTTTATTGACTGTCACATCCCTGCACCGACTGAAAGCGTGTTTAAATATCCAAAAGCTGGAGATTAAAAAAAAAAATTACATTCCGTTTTAAAGCAGGTGGAAAGAGGAAAAAAAACCAAACCCCCCGACGCCGTTTGATCCGGACTCCACTCTGAAGAGGAACCGAGGGGCTCGAGATGCAACGCGTGAGGGCGTGACGTCACGCGACTATGCGCACAATAACCTTAATAAAGCCATTAACTGCCTCAATTTACACCAAACTGCTGCAGACACTCAAAACCAGATGGATGGCCTGCGGCAAGCAGGTTACATCTGTAAGAACACTGCAGCTGGAGAGAACTCACTTATTAACTCTGTGGGGGGGAAACAAATCTCCATTTATAATTGGTCATTATATATTAATGTAACCTGCAGGCCTGCATAGCATGAGAACCTAACTGATTTTAAATATATCTCCTATCGAACAGCTAAATTGCAACGGTTTTTTTTATGTGTCTCAGTATCTCACTGAAGGCAGTTTAAGTCTTTGTCCTCTCAACTCGGCTCATCAGTAAAAAGTATTAATAGCCTGCAGCACTTTGATTTGAGGGACTCTTTTATTTTTCTTGTTGGATGTATTAAATGTTTGGAGGTATTTCAATCCATCAAATTGGAATAGCACAAGTGGTTAGTGGAATTGGGCGGGGGGAATCATATTGCTTCTTTATCTGAAATTGCAGTCACCATATAAATTGTGATAACTGTTGACAGAACTTTTCCCATCAAAGTTTGTTTTTCTGCACTGGAAAAAAACCAAATGATTCACAGAATGAGTAAAAAATGAGACAGTAGTACTCCATAAGCATTTTGGGATCTTGCAGTTTACTTAGATTATGCATAACAGAAACAATTTAGGTGCCAAGATAAAAAAAATCCTCTCTCCTTAATTTTTTTTTTACAGAGTATATTGTGTTTGATTGCTACATTAACGTGTTGTATACACAATGTTCTGATTTTGTAATGTTGTAATGCTAACAGAGCTCATCTTTCACATTAAAACAATGAAAACCCATCACTGTAATAGAAACCCCATCAAAGCAGAAATGTCCTCTTTTACTTCTGCTCGATTCTGTTCAATTTCATCTATACGGGACCAAACGCAGGCACACACTGCTCAGTATGCAGGACATGTGAAATAGATAGTGCCTTGCTTAAAGGCACCTCTGCAAGGTTTCACACTGTATTTCATAGTGGAAGTAGATAGTGCCTGAAAAAAAGACCACCTCTGCTATCATCAAAAGAAATAAAACATCTGCCTTAAGGGAAAACGTACAGGTACACTTCACACAGCAAATGCCACACACTGCATGCAATGAGTGTAGCTACTGTGAAGGACGTCATCTACAAACTAAATTGATGAAAATACCAGATGTGTCAGTATGTGCATGCCTTACCCATTGAAGAATTGTTGATAGAACTATGTCAATGATTGATATGATTTAGAGAACAAAGCCCTTTTAGTGCCAAATAACCTTTCACTTATTTATCATCCTTTTTATTCTCTTTACTTTGCCTCAAGCCACTCGGCTGCCCCCGAGCGGCACCAACAATGACTTTCTCACATGTATAAACTAACCAAAGAGTAAATGGAGCAGTTGAAGCACGGGGTTCATTTATTTACACTGTAGAAAAAGGATGAGCAGCAACATCTTGGAAAGAGATATATCGCTTTCTGAATACAAAAAAAGAGAGAATAACCTCATTAGTGGAAAGAGTCAGTTCAGAGAGGGATCCCCACAGTCCTGCTTAGTATACAGTAGGTGCGCAGATGGAATTTAAGTCCGATCTTTTAGGTTTTGCCCTGAGGAAAGTTCCTGTTTACCAAATTGTGTGCTTTGTAATCATTATCAGCCTTTTACCTCTAAAATGATGTATGCTGTAATAGTGATCGCATTGTTCAGCTACTGAATTATGTAACTTCTCTTCTCATGTTAAATATCTGTAATAAGTATTATAACATTTTTATTTCTAATATTGTATTATGTAAAGCCTTTATAAATGAAAGAGTCTGGCAGAATTTGCCAGCAAATTGAATCGATTGGCCCATGACTGATTAATTAATTGTGAGTGCTCAGTGGATTACATTAGTATAATAAAAACTCATCCAACTAGATGTAATTTCCCATAAGTAACAATAAGGCCGAAAGACATTGATGTTGAACTATTTATTGTATAGAGACTTATGCAAAGACTAGAAGGCTTTTGTAGCCTCATAGACTTAATATCATGAAAACGTCAACACTGTAACATCAACCAGCTCTCATACTGTCCCAGTAGAGTTTTTTCTGTGCAATTTATATTCAGTTGCATTGTTAACCACATGGCAATTTGTCATCTCTAATGAAGAGATCAGAGATGATTGGATTGGCCCTTGTAAATGCATTGAGCTATTAGACCACTAAGTCAATATCTCTCTGTAGAACCAAAGCTACATGAGTGCTTTAACTCATAGGCAGTGCTAATCATGAATGATGTATTTGCTACCAGGCATGGGGAGTAACGGATTACATGTGACAGGGTTACGTAATCGGGATGTTATCCATTACACTTCAAAATATGTAATCAGATTACAGTTACATTTAGTAAAAATGGGGATTGTTAGCAGGATTACAATTTTGAAATGCATTTTAAAAAGAACAATATGTATTATTATTATTATTATTATTATTATTATTATTATTATTATTATTATTATGTATACATGGACAGTGCACACACATTTCAACAAAGAATAATCTTACAGTTCATTATCATAGCCATTATTTGGTCTTTTAAAGAAGAAAAGGGGAACAACATCACAGTACAGTGTAAGTTATGCCTTCCATCTGTGAAAATGGCCTTAATAAAATGTATTTTAAATGCACTGAGCAGGGTACACGCTGCGATGCTAAAAGTCGTAGTTTCTTTTCTGAGGTTACATTGTTCAATCTGTTTTATAGAATACATGTAATCTCATTTATTTGACATTTCTCTTCTCTTTATTTGCATAATTGGTAAAAAAAGTAAAGTTCCCCCTTCCAACCCTGTTTGCTGTGCTTGAGTGGATATCAATGATACAAATAATAGGCCTATTTATTAAATGTTAACTTTTTTTATATCATCGCCTTGCCTATCACTCAGTTAAAGTTTATTTATTACATAGCACATCTAAATAACCATACAGTGATATAGTATTATAGCTTAAGGATGTGATTGATTGCTGCTCATTAAAGCCCCAGTGGAGGTGCGGAAGCTGTCAGTTGTTAAGTTTCTGTTGGCAGTAGCTAATGTTGTATTTCCTGCATATGATATGTCCTACTTAAACAAATGAAAAATCTATACAGAATCAGCAACAGGAAGAGGCTCAAGATCCGAGGTCCCTCACTTATCCATGCCAGGACTCTTTATTACCTCGCAAAAGATCTCTCTCAGCGTTATCCATCTCCGACTCTTTATGGTGATCATTCATTTGATGTGTCCCCCAAGTACACTGAAGCCTTCGCTGCACAAGAACACTTGCAGGATGAGATTTATTAGGGGGTAATCGATATCATTGTATATCACGAGATCAACACTAACCAATTACCGGGTCCCTAGGCCAGTCTCTACACCTCTGACAGGATGCTGTAACTCACTTCATGTGTAAAAGGATTAATTTTGTGTTAAAGGACCAGTCAGTCATTTTGTTGATCGTGTAAAATACAGATATATAGTTTGACTTATGCAATAGATAAGTAAGTATTTAGTGTGTTACTCCAGTGATCATAGTTGAAATTGTTTTTTTTCCAACAATAGATCCAGAAATGTCAGAAATGGAATGTAATATTCATAGGTATGCTTTCATTAGTGTATAATCACCTGAATATAGGAATCATTGTGTTTTTGTTACCTTAGAATTAACCATTTTTATCTACAGAGAGCCCCTAAGCTTGAAAGATATTTGTTAGAAGCTTATTCTTAGGTTCTCTCTTAAATCTAGTCCATGGTCAGCTTGGTTTACTTTGGTTTCAGATTTCAGTGGAGAAGCATAATCCACCCCTCTGTCCATCTGAATGCTCACTATGTTCCAAACACCCCCGTTTGTGCCAAAATATGGCTAAATACTGTGTATTGTACAGTGTACATCAATGCCAAAACTATGAATGGCATGGATGTGCATGAAGAAGATGAAAATAGAACAGTGGAAGCTGTATATTTATTGTTGTTTTGGCTCAGTATGGTCCAAACACTGTTTTCGCCAAAGCTCCAGAACAGTGTGTTGGGAACATACTGAGCATATGGATGGACAGTATGTGCGTTCCTTAATTTCCGTCCAAATATGGAGAATCAGAAATGTGGTGAGCAAAAAGATGGACAGTGGATGAGTTGGTTACAGTTCAGGAGTGTTTGCATCAATATCAAATGAGAACTTTGTATTCATATGGATGTTTGTATTCATAGGGATGTTTTGATGTTTTGACTTTTTCCTTCATTGTGAAATCTGGTCACCTTCAAAATCTTTGCAGCATGAATTTTAGGTGACCACACCTGTCAAAAGGAGA